AACCACACGTTTATTATTTAAAACGATGTCGTAAATTTTCACTCATTGTACTGTATTTAGTAAATCAACTCGAGTTGCTTTTGTAGTTGTACAGCAAATACTCAATATTTGACATTTTCATTCGTTAAAATTGCAAGATGCAGCACAGCTTAATTTGACACTTTTTCGTATTTCAAGTGTGTAAATGACGGTGTTTAAAAATAAAGAAACTGAAAATTTGGGTCATAATCATATAGCATATGCTCAACTAGAATGAAAACTCAATTGTGTAATGTTGTGTATGTCTATTTGTTAAATGATCAAATTAAAATGTGCAAAATATTTGACTTTCAAAAACTCACAGTAAGATATGGGTTCAAAATACTTCCCACTGTGAAGCACTCTTGCTTCTAGGGGAATATAAGATACCACACAAGAAAAATTAAACATTATATCGGGCAATACTCGAAAATCCTCCCTGTAGTCAGGACATGGCCCTGGAATCAACGTGTTTTAGCCGAAATCGGCTATTGTGCTATAAATCCACACTGGACTTAATTTTTTGGACAATCATTTTTTTATACCTCCCGTAAAGAATTCTTTCGAATGAAAAAGCAGAGAAATATACTACTGCGCGTTTGTCTTCGCATAGTTCCAACTTTTCATCATACAGGTTTCAATTCTTACTATTAGCTCACTCTCTGTATTTTATTTTCGTTGAATTTTCAATCATTAATAAAATTATGAAATTTTAAAGCGCTCAATTGAGCTAAAATTTTATATACAAGGTTATTTTGGATGACAATAGAGTAATTTAATTATAATAAAAATTAACTGATTATAAAACTAATTATTCAAAGAGTTACAAAGACAGCGACGTTGGCATAATTTTTGGCGACTTGTGTCGAAACAGGAAAGGTTTTTCTCTCATTTCAAAGCACTCTTTTGAGCTGAAATTTTCTATACACTATTGTTTTGCGTAAAAATACGATAATTTATAATTATAATTAACTGAAACTAATTATTTATAGAATTGCAGATACAGCCAATTTTTTTCGTTTTTAGCGACTTGGGTCAAAAGATTTTCTCACGTTTTAAAGCATTCAGTTAAACTGAAATTTTATGTACACGATTGCTTTGGATAACAATACGATACTTAAATGATAACTAATAAAAATTAATTACTATTTAAGGTTGAGATTCTGTCCTATGTATATACATATTTATATTAATTGCAACTATTTAATAAAAAGTAGCTAAAATAAAATTTTTCTTTGACTATCTAAGTAGGAATTTATTTTAAAAAACTTTTATTATACTTGTTTTAAAAAATGTTTGGTGTAGTTTAGCCAAAAATGGCTATCGGGCCAGGAACTCGCACACTTACTCACATTAATCAGACTGGATAAAAAAAAATCGGAATAATTTGAAAAGAACACGTAAATTTTAAACGGGCTGCAGAGAAAAATAACAGTATAATTTTTATGCAAGTATTTCGAAAAAAGATCTTTTTAAAATTGTGGATTGGTTTGTTCTGCTTTCATTTAGACATACTTTTTAAAAAGTAGTCGAGGAAATGTTTTGGACATACTTGAAACGTTTGAAAAACAAGAGGACTTATAAACGAAGGAAGTAGTACGGATCTACTACTCCCGTCTTGTGGTATGATCCCAGAAACTGGAGCAATATCACAGGTGTCTTACTTAATCGCCTAACCTTGGTTACAACCCAGGAAACTTATTACCAGTGTTATTATTGTCAAGCAAATACAACCCACATAACATTGGTATTAGACTGAAGTAAATCGTCAGTTTCAAAACTTATTAATAAAACGGAAAGTTTGTGCTTCGAAATGTTATTCTTTGTATCTAAACAAAACTCGGAACCTTAAAATCTTTAATGCATCTTGTTACATTTTGTTCTCGTACCTTTCCAATACATGTATTACTCTGCCCCTAAGACAAATCTAGAATTTAAATTTCCTCCAAATAGATAATACTCTAAAATATACTAAAAGCCCTCATTTAATTAGTGTGACCTTATATAACTCACTCCAAAATATACTCTTATATTTCAAAACCCTAGCTATGAAAATGTTTTTTATATATACTGATCTTCAGAAATTATACAATTTGATACCATGTAGATATAACTAATTAGGTTTATCAAAGATTTTTTCATTTGTTTTATAATTTTTTTCAAGTATCTGTTCCCAAAGTACCAATTAAAATTCCGTACGTCAAAAGAGTACCAATGCTTGTGATAATCAAAGATCTGTCCATTACGTAAACTTACCACAAAGTCAAAAGAGTGTTTTATCTTGATTCAAATATTTTTTAAATTTACATTTTTTCTGAGGATCCTGGATGGAACGTGGATAAGGCAAGTACTGTATGACGCATTTGACTTTGATTGCCATTTCGTTTGTGACAGATGCCGACATCATAATCAAAAGTTGATTGGAAAAGTTAAAGAACTGTGGCATTAACAAGGAAAGGAAATACATCTCAGTCATGCCAGAATAAAATGCGATTCTGTAGCCACCCCAAAATAATACAGCCGTATGGAAAAAACTGCGAGAAAGACGAGCAGAGAAAAATTTTCATCAACGCTTCTCATACATTTCGCAATATCTTCATACTTTAAAAATAATTCTTATAGATCTGCAGGAAGAAAATCCCCATCTATTCGTTCAAGTATGTATTCTAAGAGAACTCTAATAAAACTGCATGTGTGAGAACGTAGTAAAGAGCAAAGAGGGAAAGAGTAAGGTACCATAATAAAGAAACGAAGATCAAAAGAATTCTAAGAAATTCATTACAGTAATGCAATTCGAATTCATGTAGTTTTTTGACAAATAACGCAGTATGTGCTTAATAAGCAAGATAACTTGCATCACGATTAAATATGCTATGAACAAGTGGATTTTTACCTTGGAAGTACCGTCTCTTTCACCTTTCTTAGTAACTGACTAAGAGTATTTGTCATCTGCAGCATTTCTTACCGTCTTCTGTGCACTGTGTGATGTGTGAAATAATACCGTTAGCAGAGCTGCAAAAACTGAGTCAAACACTTGGTTTTATCTTCCTTGTAGAAAATCATAGCTATACCTAATAAAATCTTCGTACTCATTCCAACGTCAATGGTATATCTGCAACCATTTTGAATGAAAACCATTAATCTAGATTTGAGGGATTTGCCTTCATTTATATTAAAGCTTCCGCGAACCATAGAGATTTTGCATGGCTAAATACTTTGATTCCAGTTAAACGGAAAAGACAGAATAACAAATTGAATATTTTTAAGAAGGAGCAATGTGTCGTTGATTTGGCAACAATTTCTTTTACTTGCCATTTCGGAAAGATACTGTTTTCACTGTTCTTCTGAATTTCATGACGACTCATTCTCATTCCTTTTATAAACATTTTGTAGCTTTTTCTCTCTAGAATTTATGTACTTTTATAATATGAGTAACTGTTTCATTTGCAATTAGCATAAGTTACATTTAACTTCATGAAAATGAAATATACAATCATTTCTAATTTCAAAAATTATTCTGTGTTACATCACACAACGATGCGTTTATTCATTAGCGTGGGATAATGTGCTTTCTTAGCCTCTTTGAAATAACTGAATTTTGACAGCAGTAAACGGAAATTTAAATGACATCATTTATGAAGCACTGAACGAAAATTCTGTTTAAAAAAAATCCTTAAGTTTATATTATGCAGAGTAAAAGACCGTCGATTCTGTATGCCTAGCCAGTTATAAACATTTGATTCCAGTTGAAATCGATATATCGATTAAGGCTGCTCTTTAGTTCTTTCAAAGATCGTTTATGTAGCGGAACATATCAAAATCTATTTTTCTTAAGAAATAAATATGGACATAGAGATGGATTAGGAAACTATAGTATAATTTCTGTAATAGCGCTCATTATGTTGATTTTCATGAAAAAATCCGACTAAAGGAAAAGCAGTCCACATTTTGAGGAACTCATTATTCCTTCAAAGTAAATTTAAATTATTTATACGAATTTTGTGAACACTCATAATACTAACTGTTAAATTGGAAAAGATTTAATGTCCCCGTTACCTATTCGAGAGTTCGACAAACTTTCGAGATAGAAGAGATAAATTGTAAGAGAAACAAGATAATTATGGTATTAAAGAGAATTTTTTATGTGTGCAAACTTGTGTAAAAGGCAGTAGGGAGGGAACTCCAGTCGTGGTCACAATTGAAATTGTCTAGCACCAATTTTAATATTTTTTTATATTTAAGTCTACAAAAGTACTCTTTTAGAAAAAAATGTTTTGGAGACAGTAACAGTCAAAATATTTTGCATTTTATATTCACATTATATTATAAGCTAATTCTGAAAGTAAAAAGTCATTTTGACCAGCTATTATTTTACTATTTTAAAAAATTAAGAATTTTTAATTTTTTCACATTCATATAAAATGCTCAATTTATAAAATTTTTGAACATTTTAAGTGTTATATATTTCTTAGATTATTGCAAACGAAACTTAGTATGGATTTGAAAATCTGTTCCTTTGTTGATTTTTAATAATTAATTTTTTAGCTAAACCAGGAAAAAATATGAAAATTTTAAAAATATTATTTTTAGCCTTTTTTAAAAAAAATAACTAGAGATCTCAGCCTTCAACCCATACTAACTTATAGAACATACGTTTCTGAGTATATGCAAAAAAATTCAAGACCCTATCTTAAACAGCATTAAGTAAGCATAAGTCAATTCCTAGTTAGGTCAACAAAAAAAATTTATTTCAGTTACTTTTTATTAAATAATTACAATAAATATAAATATGTATATACATATGGCATAATCATAAAATTACGTTTCAAAATAGATAGCGATTTTTCTTGCAATTTTTATTTTTTTTACATGGTATTAGACTATTTTTTAATTGTTTGTTACTGTTTATTCATAAATTAAATTTAATTATTCTAATAAAATGGTATATAGTAAAGAAGAAATCACATTCTCAGAAACTAGGCCATCTCCGGGGGAATTCGAACCCCCGACCTTTGGATTAAGAGTCCAACACGCTATCCATTGCGCTACATGTACACAAAAAAATGGTTTTCTTTTATGTGTATATTTTTGGACTGTTATTTTTGTTTGTTACTATGTATTCATTTTTTTTAAATTTAGTTAATACAGGTTTTTTTTCAAATATTAATTCATTAACATCAAGTGTCATACATTATAAGTTGAAAAGAAATGTATTTGAACTTGAATGTGTGTGTGGATGAATGAAAAGTGTCTTATGAAAAATATATATAGGAAGAGAGTGAACTAATTGTAGCAATTGAAGAAAACCTTAGACATTAGAAAACACCTACATCTTCGAAATTAAAAGTCCAAGAAAAACGTATTTAATGTTTGTAAAGACATAAAACAAAAACCTATAACGCCAGTAAAGCTCTATTTTTTTTCATATGTTATTTTTTAATATATGTTCTATATCAAAACACTACTTCAATGGATTATGACTGAATAAATTTTTTTTTAATTCAAAATATATTTTTGCATAATATTGATAGTGTTTGTTACCACGACTCGTTATTCAGCCAAATTTTAACAAAAGATTTTCACAAAAAATTAGAAAGTCAAGTCATTTATAATCAACATAATAATGATACAAAGTTAAGATAAAAATCGCCAGGTTTTTATACAAAAGTTGAATTTTTTCAGTTTTAAATTGGGGAAGTTTAACAAGTTTTAAAGTCACCCAACTAGAACTCAAATACCATAATATAGTACTGCTATATGTTTATTGAAATGTAGTTTTACACTTCATGGAGATATTTAGTTTTATCTACAATACTTGTAGTCAGAATATTGTATTCAGAAGACTTATTGCAGTATCAGTGAAGGACTGGTTCTTAGATATATAATTTTCAGAAGTATTCCATCTCGTCCAAATATTGTTTTTTCATAGCAACCAGAGTATGTTTAAGTCATGACATTTTCTGAAAAGAAAAAAGGAATGAAAAGCGTCTAAATTATAAAAACTACTTGTTTAAAACGAAACTTGACCTTGAAATCAATTTTAATTATAAGTAATTATGAGAACTCAAAACACTCTCAAAACATAATCAAACAGAACTGATTTTAGTAATAAAAATTGAAATTAAAAGCCTTTTCAAACTAAAAGAATCGACTGTGCTCAAAAATTCTTTTAATTCATTCAATTCAATGCTTTAAAAGGAAACCAAAACCATAGCTCTGAATACTTCAGATATCTTAAAAAGGTAATTTGTTTACATATCTGAAATACATTTCTTGTATACATATATAGAAAAGTTTCATTATATTATTAGTCTATTTACATTAAGCCTTATATGTGTTTCAGTACATACTTTTGTTATCAAAGGCTTGTGGTAACTAAAATAAGAAATGTAGGTTTTGCACTCAATATCATTTAAGAATCTAGAAAAAACACTGCATCAATCGTAGAATTTGATTTTGTAGTCAATATTATTCTGTTATTTTGTAGAGGTAAGGTGAAATTTCTTTTGCGTCTTAATTTTTCCGCTATTTGAGGTCAAACTGGAAACTTGAGCACACACAATATTGTCTTAACAAATCCTTCATCATTTGCTTCTACCTGAATTAGCTTTGCAACTGCACCATTTGCGAATCCATCTGTCACATCAATATTTGTGGTAATCATGTAACAAATGTTATTCATATAATCTCTGTTTAATAAGGCAATCTATTTGTATCAATAAATGACATCTTATGTAATTTTTAACGTGCGAGTTTCTTGTTCTTTCGAAGTACAACCAATATATGCATCTTTTGCAGTTGAAGTTATTCTGTCCGCATATGAATTCAATATATATATATATATATGTAATTATTATACTCATTGACGGAATTGTTAGTGTGTTCACAATAATCGTATATTTTGAGGACACCTTAATTCAACTTCTTCTACATTACAAAAATGAGACTCAATCAGAGTTATTCTATTTCATCAAGTTGTTCGTCGTTTCCAATTTTTGTAAGTATAGAAGAAAATTGTTGATTCTCTTGACGTTTGACTTCATTTAGTTCATGAAATTTTTGTTTTTACCATAAAATATGTCCAAAGATGGTCTGTTTCAGTTGCTTATAGATGGGCATAGAACGAACTTGTGGCAGTTGACGTAAATCTCCTATTAAAATAATATCTAATCCACCAAAATTTGACTGAAAATTTCCGGTTATTTGTTTTAAGCAGGAATCAACCTTCAATAATAATTGAGCACTGATCATACTTATCTCATCGATGATTGTGACTTTAATGTATTTGAAAAAATTCGTTTGTTGAGCAGTTTCAGAATGTAACAGAAGTAATCTTGATAAAAGAAATTTTTTTAAAACTGTATGAAATGTTTTAAATGCTAGTGCTGCTTTACCAGTTAGCAAAAATTATATATGCAATACAGATCCATCATTGTTCGTATGCGATTTAAAAATTTTCCCTCAAAAATTTAATGACGAACGGTTTAACGCATCCGGTAGGGCCGATAAAAAATATTTGAAATGGGGTTCGATATGATGATAAAAGACGCGAAATAACATGAAGTAAAAGTCCTTTTTTGGGTGTGTTTTTTGTTTGGCATTTTCACTAATTGATAGAAATCTTCTATGGGCATTAAATTTTCTCTTTTTTTGCAATAGTAGTAAATTTGTAATAGTAAGTAGTTAGTTTTTTTGCTAAGTAGATGCCATTATTGAAACAAAAATAAATTTTTATTCACATTTTCGTTCCCTCGCCAAAATCGGTGATTTTAATTTGTCTCTAGTTTTTCTTGTTTACCCACGAGAAAATATGAAGTGGATTTTATGAAGCAGATGTTGATTGCCAATTTGGCGCGAAACTGGTTTTTGTCGCCAATTCGTCGGTTACTTTTTGAAGGCTTGATTTTTAAATTAATGGTTTACAATTCCACACATCGATTGAAAACAATGGTATTTTTTTTTATAAAATCTAAGAATAATTTTTTAGTAAAAAAATCTCGTAAAAAGATAAATAGATGAAAAACAACAAAAAAGTTTTAAAAACCATAATTTTTAAGAAAGTTTTTCAATTTTTGTACAGATTATGGATAATATTGTTTTACACACAGAAAAAAAGGTTTTGTGAGATCACTTTTATAAATAACGAAGTTATTTAATATTTACTTAAAATTTTTAGTATTTTTTGAAAAATCGTAAAAAAAAACCAGTTTTTGGCATTCTTTTTTTAAATGACTGATTCTAAAGGAAAAAACATGAACTTTTTTTAGGGTAGAATATCAATTCATTAACATGAAAAGAAATTCATACGGAATAATTTAGAAATCATTTTCATGAAAGCGTATCGATTTTGACTCATTTTAAAAAAAATCGTAAAAAATATCAATATTTTGTAGAAAACTTTATACCGTATAGTGGCGAAAAAAATGGTCTTTCCGATTCTGTAATTGTTTTTTGTCCGAGTTTGATAGAAACAATAAAATGGCTTTTGTTTCGACCAATTTATAATGAAACAGATTAGTTTAAATAAAATTCACAACCACACAAAAGCTCGGAATTCTAAATTTTCGTTTTATTATTTTTCTTTTACTGTTGCCATTTGCATAAAACCATAAATCTTTTATTTACAAAATCGCTTCAATAAATTTGAGTTGTTTCATTTATTATTATAAACTTCTTAGAGTTTTGAATTTATTTTAGTTTAAATATATATATATATTAAATTACTTCTCGTGGTTATTATATTATAATATTTGTTAAACTCGCGACAGCTTTTTTAAAAACGTGGGGAAAGTCGGAACTTCATACATCTTTAACTTACGTTCATCGCGTAACCGTAACTAGTAACGAGTAACGAAAATTTTTCCCCTAACGTGCCATAAGAAGTTCACTTCAAAAATGTATTTTAGTATTAATCAAAAGAATGCCTTATTGATTGGCTTTAAGTTTTGAGACACCTATAGTTCTCTTGAACTGAATTGTTTCAAACAATAAAGAAACTTTTTTTGCTAAAACTATTTAATAAGTCTAACTACGAATAATTCTTACTGAAAAACTGTGTTTGAAATACACTTAAACGTCCCAATTATTGCTCTGCGAGGAGAAAGACAATGGTTGCTGGCAAAAATCCTCTCATGTATGTCTTTTTTCTAAAGAATTAATATTTTGCATCAATTTTTGCTTGTTTACAAATTGTTTAGTTTTAAGCGAGATGTATTGCACGCAAAAACACAAATACTTACTGTACAACCCCACAAGCAACCAATTTAAAAAAAAAACCTTGTTACATTTATTTCGCTGTACGCTTTTGATTATACACTCACGGACAAAAATTATTTCACCAAGAAGGAGTCGTGAAAATGAAACGAAATTTTATTCTTACTTTACTTTTTAATTTTAAAACTACTTTGATATAAGTAAATGATTAGAAAATCAAAGAAAAGGATCATTTATTTCAAAAAAAAAGACAAAAGAACGGTGGATTTAATACCCTGTTGAAACCCCTCTATATATATAGCCTGAATGCACGATGCGATACGATCGAGTGATTAGGCATACAAGTTCTGTATAATGTCTTGCGACATTTCGTTCCGTATTTGCTGTAACCTTAGCTCTAGTTTGTTCAAACTCGTGGGATGCTCAACTTGTTGTCCCAAATAATCCCAGATATGCTCGATTGCAGACAAATCTGGGGATCGGGCACATCACAAAAATAAAATGTCTACCTTTAAATCTACTGCAACCGCTCCGGAAACTAAATGTATGACCAACCACTCCTACTGTTACCACATCATCTTCAACCCTAGCAAAACTTCTTGCCATCCAACTCTTCAATAGCAGTTACAATGTCAGATAATGAGCCACCAATTCCTGTATCTAGTGCAGTACTTTCCACCACCAACAATATGTTCACCCCTGTTAGGTCTTCTTCAACAGTCATGTCCGCTTCCTCATCCGGTTCCGGTATTCAACACTCCTCTGAATCTTCTACAATACCTGATTTTAAAAAAAATGCAAAAACTCGTGCAAGGAAAAGAAATAAAGTATTACTAAG